CTAGATGCACAATCCATGACCAATCTTGATGGGCCTCAAGGATCACAATGTAGCCTCTATCAATTATGTGTGCACTCACCCCGACTCCCCAAGCTGGATCCGCCAAAGTCATGAAGACATTTGGTTTCATGGCAACTCAGAGACCGATGATGTCTTATTCCCACTTTCCGACTATCAGCACATCTCGATCATAGTTTTTGTCCTTGATTGGAAGGTTCTTGATCCAAGAACGATTCTATCTTCTCGCGGAATGGCTTTGGAAGAAGTAGCAAGAGTTTGCTGGGATACTCTTAAGGAGGTAAGGCCATCTCCAATCGAATGGTTTAGAGGGTCGAAAATAGCCAGAAAACCATCTTCAACCGAGGGTCAGGCTAAAGGGCTCGTGGGCCCCACTGGACAAAAAATGGCCAAAGGGCCAACCGGCTGGCACAAAGGAACCAACCAGTCAGCCTGTCCTAGGCCACAATTTTAAACACAATGGCTAGCTGACTTCAGTTATCATTGGATTTGATTTTATTTTTTTTTTTAAATTTCAAAAAATTCTCATTTTGCCTATAAATACCTAAGTCATTCGTGCACCATTTGTCACAAAATTTTCACCATTTCAATTATCATATTTTCTTACCTCTTCTAATAATCTTTCCTTCAAGTTTTTCAATAATTTTCAAATGGCCTCATCTGCAATGAAAGATAGGGCTTGAACTCGAAAAGAAAATGAAGCTCTTTGCAGGGCTTATAGATGGGTCTCAGAAGATAGTGTGAGGGGGACTTCTCAAACAAGTGAAGGTATTTGGACTCGTGTGTCCAAAAGATACTATGAGTTCTACGAAGGCACCACTCCACCGAATACCCGAAACCATGAGAGTTGTTCTTCAAGATGGAAGAAACATCTTCATCCAATTTTGAATAAATGACATCAAGCATGATAGCAGCTGTAAGTAGACATGAAAGCAGGGCCAATTAATACGACGAAGTAAGTGTTTTCACAATTTATTTTAAATATTTAATTATATTACATTTAATTTCATAAAATAATTTCCTTTAATTTTTGTAATTATATTTTTTAGGTACTCCAAGTGGAGGAATTGTGTATGGAGGCAACTCGAAAGCCTTTCAGTTTCACAGTTATTGGGAAATTTGTAAATGGTGGGTGTTATTTGAAGATCCACCTCAACATAGAGTAGGTTCTATGCTAGTGTTTCGAACTGAATCCTCATCTGTAGATGAGGATGAAGATGGATCTTTTACCATTCAAGAAATAAGGGTAGAAAATCCATCTTCGGGTGAAGGTTCCATACCAATGGCTATGGGACGAAACAAGGCCTGAAGGTTGAAGGAAAAGGGCAAGGCAAAGGATGATTAATGGCGGAGCAAAATGTCTTTGCCGCGAAAGAAAGGAACCGTAGGCATGAAGAATGGGCCAAACAAATACAAGAAGAGATGGATGATAGGAATATGCAAATGAACACTTTGGATTACACTCCAATGAGTAAGGCCTATTTTGATTGGAAAAAGAGGGAAATTATAACCCGGCGGCAGTTGTTTACCTTTGACTATACTCTTACAATGGCGGATGATGAAGATGATGTTGATTATGGAGTTTAAATTTAAGTTGTTGTAGTTTTTAAATTTAAATTGTTGTAGTTTTTAAATTTAAGTTGTAGTTTTTTAATATAAGTTGTAGTTTTTAAATTTAAATTGTTGTAGTTTTTAAATTTAAGTTGTTGTAGTTTTTAAATTTAAATAATAAATTATGTTTGGCCCTCGGTTGAAGAAGGGTTTTTGTCACAGAGCTATGTTTGGCCCTATGGCTCTTTGGCCCTCAGTTAGAGATGGTAAGAAATATGACCCTACACTGTTCATTAAAATATTAATTTTTTGGAGGGCTAGAGGGCTAAAACGAGCCATCTGGCCTTCCTTCGATTGGAGATGGCCTAAAGGGCATGGAATTCAGGCAAACCCATCTTGATTCTATAAATATTTTTCAGTCTATCAAATGCATGTAAGACTCGATAAGTCGTAGGAGTGAGGTTAATGGGAGCTAGTCGATAGTGCAACAGTACCTCTTTTATGAAACCCTTATGTGGAAACTTAAGCCCTAGGCTTAGAAACTATGGATGAATGCAGATGTTTGGTCGAGTTGGATTTAGAGACTTGGGCAACTTAGTGGAAACGCCGATATTGTGTCTCTCCAAATCAAGATGTTGTGTCCTGGAAGCCCATCGATACGTGCTCGATAACTGTCATCTTGAGTTGGAGAGACGCATCATCGACGTCTTAGCAAGTTGCCCGAGTCTCTAGACCTGACCTGAACGAACATTCGCATTCATCCATGGTTCCTAAGTTAAGGGCTTAAGTTTCCACTAGAGGGTTTCATAAAGAAGGTATTGTTGCACTAGTAGTTGGCTCCAACCAACCTCACTTTTACGGCTTATCGGGTCTTGTATACCTTTGACAAATTGAACAAGATTTATGAAATCGAGATGGGTTTGTATGAATTTTATGCCTTTTACCTTCTAAAGATTATCCCGACAAGCTCTCACTCAAACGGCTTACCGAGTCTTGCATACCTTTGACAAATTGAACAAGATTTATGAAATCAAGATGGGGTTACCTGAATTTCATGCCCTTTACCTCTTAAAGACTATCCCCGCAAACTGTCGCTACTTCTTTCAAAGCCATTTTGCTGGAAGATGGAATGATTCCTGGATCAAGAACCTTCCAACCAAGGACAAAGACTACAATCAAGATGTGCTGAGAGTCGTTAGTGAGTGGGAATAAGACATCAATGGTCCCTGAGTTGCCATGAAACCCATTGTCTCCATGACTTTGGCTGATCTGGCTCGTGGAGTAGGGGTCATCATGGCACACATGATTAATACGACCCACATTATGAACCCTAAGGCTTATCGGGATTGGTCGTGGATCGTGCACCCAAACAGAAACTTGCCTGAAGGTTTGGTAGAAGTAACTAGGAAATATCATGAAAATGTGATAGAGAAGAGGGTTATGGACTACAATGAGAATAAGAAGAAGATCGATAAGGTAGACATAACAGCGAATTAGACGCCATCAGAGTCAATGGGCAAAATAAGGATGACTATAATAGTTTTTCGAACTGAAGGTAAATTGACGAGGAAGAGAGAACGAGAGAAAATGGTGGATCTCTTATAATCCTCGGGTCCGTCGAGCGTTCTAACCACCTCAGAGCTTGCACGTTTGGTTGGGGTCTGAAATTGTTAAAGTTACGGACGATGCCTAATCGGACTAAAAAATAAGGTACCCTTAAAGAGAAAATGCCCATGAAAGTATAACTGTGGGAATCTGTCAAGGACTTGAACATGGCTCAGTGAAGTTCGGAGTTTGTCAGAGTCTCGTCCACGACTGCCGAATATGTCTTCTGAGAGGCCGATACTGAATTTTCTGTTGAGGTGAATAAGAATGTTTGCAAGTGTTCAAGTTGATAGAGCTTAACTGACTTGGCAAAATCATCAAGGATGAACCTCTATGAAGCTCTCATCTTGATTTCGCTCGGGGCTCCAATCGATCCGCCTGCCTCGGGCATCCATGTTTGCCCCCACTACACTCCTACCAAGGCTCGTTTATTATCTGTTCTATCGCACACGGCTCCATTAACTTTCCATTCTTTCTATACTCTTCATCTCGTGCGACTATTTCTTTTGCTTTGTCAAAGCCCTCTACTAGGGTAATGTACTCGTAGGCTTACGAAATTGCCTACTAAGCTCGAACTCAATGATGACTCCCTTCTCTGCACTGAGTTTGCGAAGTGAGATAAGCCAGATAATTGCATAGCTACCACTACGTTTAAGAAGGGAGTCCTTATTGAGTTCAAGCTTAGTAGGAAGTTCCGCAAGCTTTACAGATTACTGGGAGAAGCTCTCACCTGATTTCTTGGACCCTATGATTGTGCAGTGAACGAAGCTTCTGCAAGGTTTACCCTTGCGCGAGGAGTTTCTGTGACCATATAAGCAAGGTAGGCGTTGGAGTAGAAGTAGACTCTTCCATATTGTTCAATTATCTCATACCAATTATAGGGATTCTAGTGGTTTCACTGCCCAACTGAGACTTTAGCCATAACAAACGCCTCTTAACATTGAGGGACAAAACCTTGTGGTTGCATCGGAAGCTTTCTATGTCAGAGCTTATACTCTCGTGCATCTCACAAATGAGGTATAGCAATGTCAATAATGAGGAAGAGGTGGTGGTTTATGATCTTCTTTGCCGAACACATGAGGTACATTCTCAGTGATAATTGTCTCAATCGTCAGAGAAGTGACGTCTATTCTAGGAAAGTCTGGATTGTACGATGGATCAGGATGATCAACCATGCATGAAGGTAAGGCTATTTGCAGGGGAATATGAATTTAAATTGTTAGAGCGATGGTTCTAACCTGCACAGACCAAAAACAAGCAAGGACCATTAGATAGAGCGTCGGGGTTGGTGGTTCCCTACGAAGGCACTCTGATAGTCAAGTTAAATTGTGTCTAAGTATGGAAATGATGAGTGTTTTAGGGCTTGTTTGTACCATACTTGACCAATCTCGAAACTACTGAGCATCGGTCAACGTTATACCGTTAAGGACCTAGAAGAGTTTCCATCTAATCATGAGGCTAATCACAACGCAACACGTGTCGACATCAGAAGCCAATCATAACACGACACGTGTCAACATCAGAAGCCAATCACAACACGACACGTGTCAATGTCAGAATGAAACTAGAAACTCTTTTCTATAAATAGAGATCATTCTCTCACAATATTTCCTAATGTCATTTGTACTAAATCATTCACTAGTACTCACTAAAAGAGAGCTTAAACCTATGTACTTGTGTAAACCCTTCACAATTAATGAGAACTCCTCTACTTCATAGACGTAGCCAATCTGGGTGAACCACGTACATCTTGTGTTTGCTTCCCTGTCTCTATCCATTTACATACTTATCCACACTAGTGACCGGAGCAATCTAGCGAAGGTCACAAACTTGACACTTTCTGTTGCACCAAAGTCCTCACTTATTTTGTGCATCAACAGCGCTCATAATGTCTACCCCCGCTTAAGGAGTCAGTTTGGCTATTTATAAGCCAAGAGAAGTCGATCTGAGCTCTCTGATGTTGATCTTAGTGGATAGCTTGAGTGGGAGTCAACAACATGACCTGTTCATTCAGACATGCTTTTTGTCAAGACAATGCAGTCTATCCTCTGCATGGTATGGGCGGACGTATCTGCCATGTTAGTCAATCTGAACGGCACCCCATATGGTTGAATATGTACTGCATCGATTGGACATGGCAATTTGGCGTTTAAGTGGGAGCAGTTGATACGACTAAGCAGCCATGTCGCTCCACTCCGCCCGGAGTTATATCATTCCGCAAGCGGAGCGAAAAGCTATGATCGTGCCGAGAACCACCTGATTGGATCATCTCCTCGTGAGGAGATGTGTGGCTCTATGCCCACTCCGAGTTAGTACCGGTGGAGTTGATTTGATTGTTCATAGTTCCAGGAAGGTGAAAATTATGGTTTTACGCCTAATGTTTGTGGAAAAATGAAAGTTGGGCCCAATTAGGAAAAAAAAGGGTGAAACGTTAATTAACACTTTCTTACTGATGAAGCAATACTCCGAATAAAGATCTCTGTGTCTGGAGCCTAAGGACTACAAGATTTGAACCACTTATTTTAAATCATTCGGCCTTTATGAACCCGTTTTACTAGCCCACTAGACACAAATCAATGGTTCGGATCTCTCTCTTCAACGGTCCGGATCTTCTGGTTTTTGGGCTCTAGACACAAAGATCCGAAGAAGATCTCGATTCGCAATACAGAACTCCTGGTTGCTAGCCTAAAGATCTCGATTCGCAATACATATCTTTGTGTGTCCATCCCTCGTATCGGACAAAATCCCACCTGCAATATTATATATTTTTGCCACCAAAACATGCACAATTTATAGCAATATTGTATTTTCTACCAACTTGATGAATCCAAAACAATTAACATACTATCATATGATCTATAACGTACGGTTGTTTCCTTCCGGTATGAAGCCACCAGTGCCATGTATCAAAGACCAAGACATCAAAGGTTCTCCAAAAATTTCCACTTTGAATCGAATTAAGCACTAGAACACGCCGGCTTCCCTCAAGGACGATATCTACTAGAAAGGCATTGCGCGAGAGCATGATCGAGATGTCATATGCCTTCACAGTGGGGGAGACAATGCATTAGGATTAAGATAACTAGGTTATCAGTTTGATCTCACTTGGCTTAATATAGCAAATAAAAGAAAAATTGACGAGAAAAGGGGAAAGCTATATATCTCGATAGCTAAGTCTTACTGGAAATTTGAGTACAGATAGGCCTCCAATCTTGACTAGGTCGTACTTAGCTTCTGGTGCTGATTTGTGAATCATGCATGTGAGAAACTGCCATTGATTCAAGCTCAATAAGTCTCCTACAAACAGGATGCACTTCCCTCTCAATCTTTGAAGAAAACTTCTTCCATTAATCATACACGTATAAATGATGATAAAGCAAACATGGTAATAAGTTACATGTCGCAAGCGTATTCATTAAGTAATCTGACTTGCAGTTAAGGTTTAGGCTTTTGATGCTCAATCTAGCTAGACGATTATTTGTATTAGAGTCAGACATAATGCAATAAGATAATTACCAACGAGACCTCAAAGAAGATGAAAAGAGATCGAACAAACCGTATGTATATACATACCTCGGTATCTGGCACGAAGTTGGCTGCCATCTGTATTTCTGATACTCCTTGTCCTATCGTCCATGGTTTTGGCAATTAAACTCCTTCTCTATGAATGGACAGTCAGTGGAAGTGTAGAGAGGATAAGACCTATCATAAACCCATTTCCCCTGGAAAAGGTCACAGCTTCCAATCCTTACAACATTTTTCTTTGGGTCTGGGCTTCCATTACTCTCTTTTACCAAGAGTAAAACTGCCTCTCCCATTAAACTGCTCAACTAAAAATTCCATGGTGAACAACAAATCTGGACCTCCAACGAACCAAAGCCTCCAACGATGCTCTGATACCAATTGTTGTGCCTTGGCCCGTTCGTTAGTACAGAAACGAGATTCAAATTGCAACCTCACCAAATCACACTCAGCTGAACAGAATAAAATACAAGAAATAAAGATACCGAGAAATTTACGAGGTTCGGCAAAAACATGCTTACGTCCCCGGAGAGATATTGCTCTTCACTATGAATAACAGTATAAGTACACATGAGTTAAATCAACATAACTCAATCCTGAATCCCTTGCACATCCACTCATAGAATTTTCCCAAGAGCCTCACTCTACCCCAAGAGTTCTTTCACTAGAATACTTTTCACTTTAGCTCTCTTGATTTTCTCTCAACCCATGTTCAACCTTTCCCATGGGAGAGCCAAATGCTCTCTCCACCTTGGATGCTTACCTTCCCATTTTCTAAGCATTCCTCAATGCACAAATGTTGTATCTAGTTATAGGCATACACTAGTAACTATGCCAACAACCAAGACCAAAAAGTCTTAAGTTCACATGACATAATTATTACCTAGCCTACCTAGCATGCACTAAAGTCTATACCTAGTCTATAAAGTACAAATTTTCTCCATTTGTCATTTAATGCATAGAAGAGAAAACATGCACAATTGTGTGCAAGCAAACACAAAGTCAAGTCTTGCTTGCTTCCAAATTTGCTTGTGGTAGTCACCACGTCTTCAATTGTTGTCAACACATGACTCATAATTACTCACAAATGTATGAGCCAAACACAACAATTTGATCGTTCATAGTTCTAGGAAGGTGAAAATTATGGTCTTACACCTGATGTTTGTGGAAAAATGAAAGTCGGGCCCAATTAGGAAAAAAAACAAAGGTGAAACGTTAATTAACACTTTCCTACTGAAAAATGAAGCAATACTCCAAAGAAAGATCTTTGGGTCTGGAGCCTAAGGACTACAAGATTTGAACCACTTATTTTAAATCATGCAGCCTTTATGAACCCGTTTTACTAGCCACTAGACACAAATCAATGGGTCGGATCTCTCTCTTCAACGGTCCGGATCTCCTAGTCCTTGGACTCTAGACACAAAGATCCCGAGAAGATCTCGATTCACAACACGGAGCTCCTGGTTGCTAGCCTAATGATTTATTATTCATCAATCAAAAGTAAAAAAATTATCAATTCAGCTTTGGAAGAGTGCTGCAATTAGAATTTGATTCCAAGAATCTGGAACACCAGGAAGACACCAGTGAGTGCAGTCTGTGCCGCGGCGGCCGCCGTATCCATAGACTGAAGGGTGACCGTCTTTTCTTAGTTGTGAAAGTGTTGTTATGTCGAGCAAATGAACTGGCTTAAACACTATGCGCAAAACCTTTTTTAGGACAATTTCTGCTGGATGTGAACCTCCTGGATAATGTGACCCGAACACTGGTTCTGTTTGTCCTCGGCAGTTCTCCGACTTTGCATCACCCCATTCTCTTGGACTAGATGATCATATTTTAGCACAAATAGAAAAAAGATCAGGCCAATATGTTATGGGAAACAATGCTTAATCAAGACAGAAATTTCAAATATGCTCCATATATACATATTCTAACTCCTATGCTACACATTTAAGTTTAACCTAAATGTACGTATATACATATGAACTCATCTGGCAGTCCAAGAGTCAATATTGGATATGAAGTTTTACTTTAGCCTTAATTAATTTGCAGTAGTAATTGACCAAAAAAAAACATTTTACATTAGTAAAAACAAAAGGATTTTTTAGTAAAAATTGTTTCTTTTTATATTTCCTTTTCTTTTATTAACTTAAGTTGAAAATAAAACATTCATGTACTGACCTATAAGTTCAAAATTAAAATATTGGTTTACTAAGCAATCAGTACTATGATCTACTAGTATTCTTCTTCATTTGTAAACGAGGTATCTCAGGTTCGATTCACGTGTAATGGATTATAAGGGAGAAATTTTTGCTTGCACAATTACTTACTTCATGTGATCTGGAGAAACACCCTGGAAGAAGACCTGAGTTTTAGTAGAATCAACACTGGAATCTACCCATCTTGCCCATGTCCTCAGAGCTGTCTCGTAAGCCACCATGCGATCCATGTCTTTGTGTGTCCGTCCCTCGTATCGGACAAAATCCCACCTGCAATATTATATATTTTTGCCACCAAAACATGCACAATTTATAACAATATTGTATATTCTACCAACCTGATGAATCCAAAACAATTAAAATACTATCATATGATCTATAACGTACGGTTGTTTCCTTCCAGTATGAAGCCACCAGTGCCATGTATCAAAGACCAAGACGTCAAAGGTTCTCCAAAAATTTCCACTTTGAATCGAATCGAGCACTAGAACACGCCGGCTTCCCTCAAGGACGATATCTACTAGAAAGGCATTGCGCGAGAGCATGATCGAGATGTCGTATGCCTTCACAGTGGGGGAGACAATGCGTTAGGATTAAGATAACTAGGTTATCAGTTTGATCTCACTTGGCTTAATATAGCAAATAAAAGAAAAATTGACGAGACAAGGGGAAAGCTATATATCTCGATAGCTAAGTCTTACTGGAAATTTGAGTACAGATAGGCCTCCAATCTTGACTAGATCGTACTTAGCTTCTGGTGCTGATTTGTGAATCATGCATGTGAGAGACTGCCATTGATTCAAGCTCAGTGAGTCTCCTACAAACAGGATGCGCTTCCCTCTCAATCTTTGAAGAAAACTTCTTCCAGTGATCCTACACGTATAAATGATGATAAAGCAAACATGGTAATAAGTTGGATGTCGCAAGCGTATTCATTAAGTAATCTGACTTGCAGTTAAGGTTTAGGCTTTTGATTCTCAATCTAGCTAGACGATTATTTGTATTAGAGTTAGACACAGTGCAATAAAATAATTACCAACGAGACCTCAAAGAAGATGAAAAGAGATCGAACAAACCGTATGTATATACATACCTCGGTATCTGGCACGAAGTTGGCTGCCATCTGTATTTCTGATACTCCTTATCCGGTCGTCCATGGTTTTGGCAATTAAACTCCTTCTCTATGAATGGACAGTCAGTGGAAGTGTAGAGAGGATAAGACCTATCATAAACCCATTTCCCCTGAAAAAGGTCACAGCTTCCAATCCTTACAACATTTTTCGTTGCATTAATATTATCAACACCACCAAAGGCAACTTTCCCTTGGATTTGACACAAAAGACAGAAAACCAATACTGCTGCAACACTTACGGAAATGGAAGTCTCCATGTGTTAGAACGAGAATGTATCACTTCTTGGTTAGAACTGATCTATTGATTTGCCACGTGAGTTTAAATAGTGGTTCTTCCTTTGCTCTTGTATTAAAATCCATAAATTTGTGTATTAGTCTTGCTCAATTGCTTTATTAACTCTTGTTTTATTTAAAGGCTTGAATTTAATAACTAAAGAAACTCCTACCAATTCAAATGAAACTCCTTTCAAAGAGATGCCTTTGTTTTTTTCTCTTAAAACACGGATTGATGATGTACTAAATGTCAAAAATTGTTAGCCTGTTGGCTTCATGCTACTAATGAAATGAGTAAAGCACCCTAACTAACCAATAAAATGTAGTACGAGATCACCAGATATATATTCTTAAGAATAATATATGGATGTTGTATTAGACAATATTTGGGCCACTTGATCTTTAAAAGATATATACTGGCGGAGTGGCTATAAGCGTAGAGGACATCCTTATTGTTTCTTTTGTTTCTTTGTTTCTTTGTTTCTTTGTTTTTAATTTTTGGGTTTGAGATGCCCTTCTTGTTTCGTTTGTTGTAGCTTCTTAGTGGCCTTGGTCCTCCCTAACATGATAAGGTTTTTTTTTTTATTATTATTATTATTTATTTTTATTGTCAAAGGATAACATTATTAGATAGGAACATAAATGTTTACATAAATAGCTAGAGTATTGGTATAACCTAACATGTTAAGGTTTGGGTTTGATTATCTTGTTGTACATGAAACTCAAGAGTAAATTGGATTACTTAGAGCATCCTTATATGAAACTCATGATATTTAATGGCTTATGTCACAATTTGATATTTTGTACAACTTTTTATCCATTCGATATGTTAAATAAAAATGTCATTCTGTAATTTTTTTTTCATCTCTTTGTGGAGTTTAATTGTTGAGACAACTAATCAAATACTTCGAACACACAACAACATTTATTATGAATTGCATCACATATATTAAAAAAAATCATAAAATAAACTTGACGGCTGCTGCCAAATTTGACAGCAGAAGCTTTTGCTTTTAATTGACTTAGCTCCTAAGAAAAAGGTTCAGTGAATTCATTTTCATTTTTTTACTGTTGTACGTTTATATGCAAGTTTTGACATCTCCTTTGGAGATGCTCTTAATTTGGCTTTGATTTAGAAGGTGTATTTAATTGAGAATTTAAGAGACTTTAATAGATTTATAAATGCATGGATTTTTATGAATTTTAATTGATTTGTAGAGATTTCATATAAATTTTTTATTCAATTCCCTCGAAATCTCATGGAGAGGGGTGAGATTTGTAGGTGCTTAAAATACACTACGAAATCTCTCTAATTCCCTTTAATTCCTCAACTTTCTCAAATTCTTTAAAATCAATTTCTAATTGAATACACCTGAATTTCTAAGTATTTTAATAAACTATCTTAAAATTATAATTGAATACAGCTTGAATTTCAGATAATCACTTAAAATTCTGATTGAATATCTCTAGATTCATTAAAAGAATTAAAATCCCTCAAAATCCCAATTGAATACACCCCTTAGAGGTTTTCTATTTAAACACCTCATCTTATCTAAGTACACCTCACTATTTTTTTTTCAATTAAATTTTTAATTGTGTGAAATGACCATATAGTACATATTAAGAACGCCCAACCATTGCTCATCCCACCCTCACGACAAACCCACACCCACTCCCGACAACAAGGGCGATTTCGTCGTCGACTCCTACTCCAGTGATCATCCCTTCTTTGACTACTCCTGTCACTGCTCCCTTCCTCTTCTCTGAATATATACTAGCATATGGGTGATTTTTTTTTTTTTTTTTTTTTTTTTTTTTTTTTTTTTTTTTTTTAAATAGAAGGAGAGAGAGGAAGAGAGTGATAGACAAGATGGGAGTGGGAAGTTTTTTTTTTAATTTAATTTTTTATTTTTTTTTAATTAAAGATATATTAGGATTGTATGTATGTGAGGTTTTGAAAAAAAAAACAAAATTTGGATGTGGGAAATTATATTTCTATCCATATTTCTTATTCATGTTCTGCTTTAATTAGAGGATTAAATTGGTAATTTTATAGAATTTTAGTTGATAATAAGTATTTTATTAATTAGTAGAGATTCACGTATAATCAAATATAATTTGCGCCAGTGGAATCTGAAGAACCGAAACAACCTCGTTGGTTAGGAGCAAACCAAACTCTAGGGGTCAAATAAACCACGGCTGGCCACATAAGCGTCCAAACCAAACCCTAGGGCCTAATTCCTGTTGTATAAGTCACACTGTATATTCATATACAGTGGATATACAGTGAACAAAACTTCAAAGTTTTGTATAACATTGATATTGCACCGGTTATTTTATATGACTTGCTAGAGTTTATGGCCAATGAACCACGCTCACTCTTAACTGGAGTCGGAGCGGTTGACGAATCGCTGGAGTGGGGTGCATGTATTTGTCGTGGGGTGGGATTATAGCGTCAGCAGTGGGTGGGTGTTCTTATAGAAGATAACACTTTGCCAACAAGTCATTATGAAAAAGCTCAATTATCGGTGTTGAATTGAAGGAAAAATGATGACTGAGTGAGGAATTCTTGTAGAAAATTATGAACACTTGCCAACATGTCATTATAGTGATCATAGCGTCAGCAATACAGTTTAAGAGTAAGACCACACGTTAGTGGATTGATGATCAAGTCTTATGTGTAGTTACCCTCACCCAATTCCTCATCTCTTAGAGCATTGCCAAGATAAGTTGTAAAACCACTTAAAACTTATTTAATTTAAAGAGCCAACTCTAAAAAACTAATCTCCAACATACCCAATAAAAAGCCTATATTCTAGCAAAATGAATAAACTCTTCAAGTTTTAGGGCAACGGTTCATAAGCTAAATATTAAACAAACAATAAAATTTAAGGGTGGAACCTGTGTGCCAATTAAGAAAAAAATGAAAGAGAGAAGGTGATTTTAGAAAATGAGTTGGTTGGGTTTTTGACACATCCCGACCCGGAATGTCCACTTGGACTTCCGAATAGAGCTGTGTTGGTCGACACTTGGAAGGTGACGAAGCCATAAAGTGTAGTGATGTGGAAAATGTGTATAAATTTAAACCTAAAAGTAGAGTGCGCTGTGAGAAAGAATGAACATATTTCACACGTGATGTCAGAGTATAAGACAGTATAGTAAGATAAGGTGAGAATTAGACCATCGAAGGTAATCGTCTACACCAAGATTTGCCAAGAATCCTCATCGACATGTAAGCTCAGCAATAAAACCTAGAGGGGCGAAAAACAAGGGTAAGTGGGCCTACAAACAAATCTTTGTAAAAACCTTTTCAAAAACATAATAACTCCTCGTTGTAAAACCAGTATAGTTTCCAAAATATACATACTACATATAGTAAGAAAATACTTACCGTAACTTGCAAAATCTCAAGAATTCATTAGGGCACAATATCTCGTAAATAAGGGCATGACATCCATAATCACAAAATCTCACATAAGCAATATATCATATCGAGTGCTTATCGACATATGCTGACACACGAGTTCATGTAGAGGTATTTTGACATGAACATGACTGGGTGTAATAATAATATACGCTCTAGTACTACAATCACATGAAGACTGGTACTATGCGCAACACATACGAGTCGGAGTTGCCTATGGCAACCTTTATGACAGGACTGGCACCTACAATGGATCCAAAGTCAGCGTACGGTGAGATGTGCACATAAACGCGAAAGACTAGCCCTGGCTTGGACGAGTACCAACACCAGTGCAGCAAAGGATGAGCAGATAACATCAATATAGTCATGCCATAGCCATTCAACAATTCTAATCAATATCGTACTATTCATGACATAAATATAATTAAGTCATCTCCTTATAGTAAGCTTACATGTGCATCCCGTAGGATTATTTCATCATTTCCCAACAATAAGGTATTTCTTATAAACATTAATTTAATCATGGGAATCGCATAAAGAAAACTACCCAATATATATATATATATATAAAGAAAAGACCCATTCACAGATCATGTCGCCCAGTCGAACCTGCCTCGTAGCATCGAGAGTCCTTGCGATGCATTTCGCCTAAAAACGAAACTATTTAGGTAAATATAACGTGCTAATGAAATTACATGTCTTCATACAAAGTACGGCTAATAAATGAACTATCTTAAAACTGTTGAATTTCGAAAAACGGACGGCAGATTCAGAATCAGTGCGTCAAAATACGCAAATGAGGGTCCCCATCAAATTTTACAAAATGTTAACGGTTAACCCTAAAAGTCAACCGATGTATATATTATCTAGGATAACTCACTAATCAATATAGGCCCACTAAACCTTATATAGTCTCTAGGAATACTGATTTTAATATTTAAGATCAATTCGTAGCATATTGTCCAAAAGTCAAGTCTTTATCAAAGGTGAGGTCCACAACCCTACACAAGTCAATATGGAACATCCGCCCATGGATTTCCAATCCGAAACTTCCCAAAATCCACACTATGCTTCTAGAACAACATACTAAAACTTCTTTACGATCCAATGGTCGGATCTCCGCCAATTTCTAGAATTAGGTTGCTATCAACGTTTGTTTTACAAACTTAGAAATTCAATTTGGGAAGATCCGTACATCGGATCCCCAATCCATTACTTCCTATGGTCCTCAAATATTACATACTATAACATATTAAAGTTCGGTGATGATCCAATGGTCGGATCGTCAAATCATAAAATGGTCAAGTGGCATTGTATTCCATACTAAGTTCAAACTATCGAACTATATCAAACGGTTATCAAATTGAAATCAAAACATTAAATTTAACTTAAAAAAGTAGCGTCGGCCCACTAGCCACACGCTGCCGTGCGTGGTGATTTTCGACGACTAGAAACCCACTTTTTTTACTAACTCCAAATTCTACCAAAATTTACAAGAAGATAGAGCTCAACAAGAGGAACAAGTTTTATACTTGCCATGAAGTCCAAAAGTGGACGGAAGATGGTCAATTTTCCGATAAAGCCAACAGGTGCCCAAAGCTTCCCAGCGTCAATTCATTGCCTAGGGTGGTCCAACGGGGTCAAATCTAGTCGGGATTTACTCCTGGGATGATGGGCTACAAAACCCAAGTGGTGGCATCAGCCATCGCTTTG